GAGAAAACAGCTATGCATGACACAGGCTGGGCCCTGGAAGTGATGAAGCAACACAAATGCTTATGTGGAAAGACAGATTTATTATTACTGTCTGGATTGCTTAGGCAATGGGAAAATCAGGGAGGCAATGCTGTAAGCATTTCCACTCCTTTCCCAGGCAAAACGTGTTGAAGAGAGTATTTGTTGTACATACATCAGGATGCCTTTCCTGTGCCCTAAACTGAGGCTGGACAATTCTGCTCACATTGTGGACCTTAGTCCTCTCCATCTCTCAGCTGAGAGTAGTTCCAGGAGGCAGCCAAGCCCAGTTCTCAGCCCACCTGTGGTTGGATACCAAATATGAACACCTGAAATTTCTTTACCAGTCATTCTCCAACCTCAGAGAGCTTTTAGGTTTGGGTTGTTTGCAGGAAGATTTCATTCACAGATCACTGCAACAGCTGCCGCTTTTGCTGACCTGAGTAATAAATCCTTGGTCATTCAATAGCCATGCCAGAACCTCCTTGTGGCCCAAGTCCCAGATCATGAGCAGATATTCAGGCACCTGATTAAAAACTGGGACAAATGCCCTGCAAAAGCAAGAGTGAAACCAATCTGCTCAGGCCAAGCAGCAAGCACTAATCACTGTCTTCCAAGCTGAGTTTTAAGATCCATTACCATTCTTATGCCTCATCACTGCCACACATACCCATCCTCCAGCAATTCCTTCTCTTACTCAACCCAATTTATCCACACACATCATGTATTTTTTACCTTTCTGCTCCTCTAATCTCTTCTTCCAGTCTGTTTATCCTAACTTTTTTTCTCTTCCTAACTTCTCTCCTGTCTCCTAAAAAGCAGTCATCATTGGTATGTGCATAATTTCCCCCTCCTCCCCATACAGATAGAACCAATCTGAACTTTCAGACTGACAAAAAGATTTTCCAATAAAGAGGCAAAGCAAAGAAACAAGCACTGACCTGATATTTTCTACAACTCATTTTCTTTCCTATATTGATGCAACAGGGGTATGGGAAGGGGCATGCTCTCTTAAATACAAAACCTAGCAGCTTAAGAGTTGCACAACAACAAATAGAATAACATTTTTTTAAAAAAATAACCTTTACCCTTATACCCACTGTTTATCAATATCAACACTGTCATATCCACAGCAAATCCAGTGATCCCATCCTCTAAGCCCTTGCTGCATGGTATTTCTTTCTATGACTTAGTGTGTCTTGAATTAGATCACATAATTCTTAGAGCAGCAACTTTGTGTTTTCACTTTTACAGGAAATTGCTCGATTCCTTGGGGTGCTGACTAAATGACGAGCACAGTAATAACAAACCAACTGATCCTCTTCAACAGGAATTGCAGAGAAGCCCTGTTGGCTCAAACGCACAAGAGTGAAAGTACGTGACTGATTTGAAAGGAAAAACTCTTCTGTGGAGGAAATATTGATGAAAACCATTCTTTCCCTGAATGATTTTAAAATTGAGGGTCAAACAAATCCTAATGATTGGTAACTTTGGTGTTGTTGAAAAGAAAGGTCTGTTGGAGGATGCAAGCAGAAAAAAGATGTGGAAAGAGATGGCTTTATCAGATTAATGGAAGGGGAGGAAAGGATCTGAAATCTTGACTCTAGAAGTTTGCTTTAACTTACGCCTTTTTGTCCTCTTAGCCTGAAATCAAATTATTTACCCTTCTGATTCTAATTTCACCTTCTGTGGGTGAATTTCACTCATAATAAATTAGATGTCACATATCCAGTGATACTGAATGGGATTCATTTCTGCATTGAGACACTGTGAGGTCTGGCCTACACAAAGATGACCCCTGTGTGCCATGGTCTAAGCTCCCATTCCTGTCAGTGGACGTCAGTGTAGGCTATAGTCAGTGTGGAGCAATTCAGCTAATCCTAAATCATGCTGAAAGTAAATGCTGTTTTGGGCTAGCTCACTCTAACCTCTACTGTTAATTTTGGGAGCTTAGATACAGAGTGTTAAATTCAGGTATTCAGGCATAGACATCTATTGCCATCTAGGACACCATGGGTTATCCCTCTAAGCCTCTAGCTGCTTGACCAAAAAGGAGGTTTTCTGCCAAATTTGCCCATCCTACTGGGTGTCCTGGACTCTCAAGTGGCATGAGACCCTTATGGTGAAGCAGCTACCTCAGCCCCTAGGCCACATGCTGATGTGGAGACACCTAGATTTAAGGGATGGATTTTTTTTTTTTACTTTAAAACACTGCAGCTAATTTAGGTTCAAAATCTTTTTTACTAGTAACTGAAAGGTGAGGGGTGGGCCTTCTTCTATCTTACAGTCTTTCAGCAGACTGCTAGAATAATCCTCCGTCATTGGGCGGGTAGGACTCAGACCCTGCTGCCAAGCACATGTACTACCTTGATTTCAACAGGATTTCGGCTTCAGTCAGAAGGGCTTTTCTCTTTGCCAGGAAAGCACTGATAATATAAGTATGGAATAAGATGTTTACAAATGGCCCTACCCTAAAGAGGAGAAAATACCGAACAGCTTAACAGACCGCATACACAAAGTGGTTTGTGCCACGGTTTATGGACACCAGTGAAAATGTGCATATTTTAAGGGGAAAGCTCTGTGTGTGGTGAGCGCCTCTTGTGTTTGTGGTTTTGTGGTAGCAAAATAATAAAACCACTGCAATTGGCCTTTCTCCAAGGAGCAGGGCAAACCAATGTTTTTAAAGGTGGTCTGTTACAACATGAGTAGGAACTACCAGTTCCTGAAGTCCTTGAAATTTTTAGAAATCTGCTCAGGTTTGTCTGAAACTGGGATTGTATTAGAATACTGTCTAATTTACTTTCCTCTACAAGGGAACCAAGGTGCTAGGCATCTCTGAAGACACACTTAACACTCACCCAAAAGAGAATATATCACTTCCCTAGTGTGATATGACTTCACGATAAAGGACTCTGATGGGACATGGACAGATGTTCCTTATACTGCATGTTCCTTATGATCAGTTTTGACAGTTTACTGCACCAGGAAAATGGAAATGTCCAGTTTAAACTGACCCTCAGTTATTTAAGGGAAACACTTCACAGAAGGTTTAAATATTGATAAATCTTTCAGTGAAACAGTAAAAAACAATTTAAAAGGGAAAATATGATATGCTTAAGTTAGGAACCACCTCACCTCAACTTCACTCAAGCATCCCCATGCACCCCATGCACCAATACAGGCTGGGGGATGACCTGCTAGTTAGCAGCTCTGCTGAGAGGGACCTGGGAGTCCTGGTGGACAATAAGCTGACCATGAGCCAGCAATGTGCCCTTGTTGCCAAGAAGGCCTATCCTGGGGTGTATTAAGAGGAGTGTGGCCAGCAGGTCGAGGGAGGTTATCCTCCCCCTCTACTCTGCCCTGGTGAGACCCCACCTGGAGTACTGTGTCCAGTTCTGGGCTCCCCAGTTCAAGAAAGACAAGGAACTCCTAGAAAGAGTCCAGAGGAGAGCAACTAGGATGATAAAGGGACTGGAGCATCTCCCCTACGAGGAAAGGCTGAGAGAGTTGGGCTTGTTCAGCGTGAATAAGAGAAGACTGAGAGGGGACCTCATCAACGCATACAAATATCTTAAGGGCGGAAGTCAAGAGGACGGAAGCAGTCTGTTTGCAGTGGTGTCCAGCGACAGAACTAGGGGCAATGGTTGCAAACTGAAACATAAGAGGTTTCAGTTGAATATGAGGAAGAACTTCTTCACTCTGAGGGTGGCAGAGCACTGGAACAGGCTGCCCAGGGAGGTTGTGGAGTCTCCTTCTCTGGAGATATTCAAAGCCCGCCTGGATGAAGTCCTGTGTAGCATGCTCTAGGTGAGCCTGCTTTAGCAGGGGGGTTGGACTAGATGATCTCCTGAGGTCCCTTCCAACCCTTACGATTCTGTGATTCTGTGATTCTGTGATCCCAGTGTCAAGTATTTAATCTAATCTAAGGTACTTGCCTGGGCTCCATTTACAGGCAGTGGTGAAAGGTAATTGGGTGGTAAGTACCTGAAGAAGGTATTAAACACACCTATTTTAAACACCTAGTGTAGGACAAAATGAAGTAGTGTTTGAAGGTGCGCCTTCCCCTCCACTGGCTTAAGGGGAAGACTACAATACTGGTGCAGAAGATACCTGACTTCTAAATGGTTAAATGAGATGTAATGAATCCTTTCCTTATGTGCTAAACATAGCATATGTATAAAAGGCAAAAAGAAAGGGGAGGGGAGGAAATCAGACCGATCAATCCTGTGTATTTGCAAACAAGGCTCAATACTAATGGAATAAATGTAGGGTTGGTTGTTACTGGATTACAACAACAACAAAGACAAGATTTCTTATAAGCGAAGTTTATATAGCGTAGATCATCAATCCAAAATAGCATTGATATTGGATATTTAGTGGTGTAACTGAGATCAGAATGTGTCCCTCTGCAGTTTAAATAGACCTAATATGGTGCACAACAGTTTTTTTCCAGTTTCTATTCAAAGCTGAATTTCACCCATAGTAAATTAGAATTCTCTGGCAACTGGCCCATAACCTTTAAACTTTTCTGGTTGGTGATCTTAATACACAAAGGCTTTTTATCAGTAAACTATGTCTGGATGGGAACCAAACTCTGACTCCTACTCCTTCTCCATGCCACAACATTTTTGTAAAGCTGAATAAACATATTACACCGAACGCAGGGCTTTGAAGTGTAAACACCAATACACGATATTAACATGAAACAGTCCAAAAATAAGAGACTTATAGCCAAATTATTTCTGCAGTATGTAATGGCTAAACAATGCGGTATCTTTACCTGAAAAGATACTGCATAGCTGTAGTTTGTATTTAAGTGGTGTCTGAAATGGATTATCATTATTGTTTCATTTTTTCCCTCTATGCATTCATGACTAAAAATAAAGAAGAACTGTAAGCCTTACAGTGCCATCTCAGAGACTTCCTGTGACAACTATTAAAAGACCATCATCACAAATGCAGATTTGAAGAAATTAGGTTACCTGAAAAGGCTTTTGTTATCTGGCATAATCCCTCTTTTCTGCAAAGGAAATGCTGTATTTCTGGAAGTAGGTTTACCTGTACGTAAAGAGAGAAGCTTTAATGATTTAATTCAGAAAAGTGTTCTTTTTCCTGGAGCCTTCAGTGGGTTTGTGTTTAATTTAGCAGAGACACCTCATGTGAAAAACTCCTGTCAGTGTCAATAGTGAATTACAACTTTGCCATTCCTGCAACATGGGATAATGAAGTTCAAGTGTGGGCCCTTCCTCCACAGCTATCACAAAACAAAATTTTAGACTTACGGCTCTCCTCCTGGCTGCTGAGTTTTCACCCCTTCCCTGCCCCCTTTTCAGTTTCTGCAGCTTCTCTGTTCTCTGCCAGTTATCAATCATAGAAATAGCCTATGCCTCTTGAATTGCTGTGCTTAGGAACAGAGGTAAGCTAACGTAGCTAAACCACATCCAGGCTCTGCAACAAAGAACTCTGTTGCACTGTGGTATGGACATGCCAGCAGCGAGTAATGTTAGTCCAATATTTAAAGTTATCCGGAGATATGGGCCATCTGGTTTAAGTCCCTGCTGTGCTGCAGACTTCCTGAGGGAACTTGGACAATTCCTTTGATCACCTTATGTCTCAGTTATTCACGTGTGAAACTTCTGGACATTGCAGAGTGCTGCAAGGATTATTATATTGCACAGTATAAGAGGCTCAGAGATGATAATATGGGTAGAATGAGCAAAAAGCAGTTTGCAGAAGCCTGGGGTGTTTTATGATCTGAGACCTGAATCCAAAGCATGTACTTCTAGCAAACTGGAACTGCTATAAAAGTTCCACTTCACATACACTTAGATAAGGCATCCTGTCCCAGGGAACCCCAGTGTACATGCTCCTAGCTCTGGCTTCTGTGGGCACGCAGTGGTTTTTTGCATCCTCATGGACTTCATACCTGAACTAAATAGCCTTTAAAAGCAGCTCTATTTCTCCCAGTCCCTCAGTCCAGAGTCTATACTTTTGGGTCTTGCTATTATTATCTGTGCCATTGCACTTGAAATACAAGCCAAGCTTTACCCATAGTTTGGTCACGTTTTTTCAAAGTCCTCAGTTTAAATCACTTATTTTCACCAACAGGCCAGGTGCTTATTTAGACATTTGCATATCTAAGTAACCTTAACTGTGTCCAGAACATATTCAAGTGAAAAAAAAAAACTCCAAACAATCCTGAAAATACCAAGAAATATTGGCATCACTGATGCTTTGGACTGTGAGTAAGCAGATTGCAGTGCCAGAGCAAGGAACCCCTGTGAAGGCGCTGGAGGAGGACACCAGTCCAGCTCACACATTATCAATTATAGGAGCCCTGTCACTGTTTGGAGAGGTGCCTAAATTATGTTTACAAAGGAAGAAATTACATTAGATGAAACTCAATACTGGTATAAGATGTGAAGCCTAAATTAGTCCAGCTTTATTTTCTGCTTATGCTATTATTCTGAAATATTGCATGCATTGGCTAGTTGTTTCTCCCATTTCTAAATTCTCATTTTCCAGCGGGATGCATTGTTTCCCTTTACTTCTGTAGACACTTTGCTGCCTTACATGCTAGTTGAGGATGGCCAAGAATGCTCAAGCTGAAGAAAAGGAAAACTTGACACTCACTGGTAACGATATTCAGTATTTACGCTGAAATACTTGCATCCAAAATAACAAACTGTGTCCAAATAAGAAATTGTTTTTGATCACTGTGTGTGATATAAAGAAGAATGAAATGTTGGTTTCTGACAAGTATTTCTCAGTAGATAGGAAACGTGAAAAAAACTTTATTGCTGTTAAACTGTGCTGCTGCAGTACAAAATAAGCATCAGATAATTTTCTTTTTATGAGTGAGTACTGAAAATTTGGGCTAGCGCTGTCCTCTCATTCTCACAAAGGATAACACAATAATCTCATACCTTCTGGAATAACTCTAGATGATGCAAGTCTTCTATCTGAATGCAGCCGGTATCATCATTTTTTCTGGAAGATAAGCAGATCAAAAGATCCCAAGGGCTTACATGACCTATCAGGAAAGAAAAGAAGCATATTGAGAAAAAAAATATGGAATTCCTATTTGAATAAAAAATACTTAGAGCCAATTCCTGAGGGACAGAAAATTGTTGGAGTGCTAAGTACATGAACAGCTACCAGTGGCAGAAGTGGAAAAGGCGTATTTGCTACCACAGTTCAAGATTTGGAACTATATTTAGGTATTTTGCAGTTGGCACCTCCCATTATACCTGCCTACTGATGTCTGGTCCCCCCGTGTCTGACCTGTTTAGCATTCAGAAATGAAAAAGTTCAATAACACGGTGCTGCTTCCCTTTGGTTTTTATTCTGAACTCCTCAACATGCACATTTGCAACACACATCCACTATATGCAGTGTGACCTTCTGAGCTCTTTCATTATTCAGAAGTAAATTTTACAGGAAGCAATACTGGTCATGCTATTGCGAACAGCGCTTCCTAAATATTAGACACCAGATTGCCAACATCTAGGACAGGTGTACAAGTGGGAATTAAGTTGCACAGAGCAAGTAACTAGCTTCTGAGCTAATTCTGGTGCTTCCTTTCCAGGGCAAAGCTGACCTGTGAGACCATGGGGTTCTATTACCAGGAAACAAACCACACCGGAGTCAGAGATAGCTGCCTGAAGAAGAGATAAAACTAAATTCTACCAATTAAAAGGCCATTGTGGATTAGAAGATATAGATAGGTCTTGGAGTTTGCCCATATTGCAGCATGTGATGTGGTATAGAAATGCCAATGTAGCTTCAAACGAGCTTGCTGAGCTATGTCAAGTGGATATTTGTTTTCTTCTGTATATAGTGGCAGCTCTCAAAAGATTAACAGAATCACGACATCTCTTGAGGACTCCATGAATATGTTCAATAAAGGGTAAACCACTTCAGTGACAGGATGACAATTAGAAATAAGGAACTTCCAAACAGAAGGGGCAGCCAGAGAAGCTGTACAGCCCCCAAGGCGGGGTACTGCATTAGGTCAAACCTCTCTGCAGGACAGCTCTTTCAGTGACTGGTTGGTTGGTTCTTTTTCTCAGGCAAGGTTGGGAAGATTTCATGCATTTTATTCCATTTTGTGCTATCCATCTGTGATTGTAATTTTTTCGTATCCCAATCCCAATCACAAATGCCAAGCAGGGTGAGGATTTCACTTACAGAGATCTAATACTCAATTTACGTTAAGTACAGTAATGAACTGATTGTGCAGAATGGGTCCAGGACTATGAAAGTAACTATCACCTTTTCTATGTGTATAAGCAGTGAGACAAAGCTGAAGAGATGAATTTTCAGTTACGCTGCATCCATTACTGTGAAGAATTCTTCAATTTCGCATTCTGAGTAGCAGTATTATGGTATAAAAATAATTAAGGCATGTGAAACTGAGGCAAGACAGATTCACTACGTGCGCCTTTGTGAAAGAAATAAACAAAAACCTGCAGGTAGATAAAAATGGCACAGATAGCAAATAAATGAACCATTAAAGAAACGTACAAGCGAATACTTCATTTTAGTGCGAAAGATTGACAGTGTTAACAACCTACTCGATGACCTCACCAGCTATGTAATTATCAGATAAGCAAGATGTTATGCCTTTGACTAGTAAACACCTTCGAATAAATCATTATTATTACATCTAAAGCACAATGCCTCGCTGTGTGCAAATTGAAAGGGAGCTGGAAGGAACTCCCATTTCTCAGCAGCAGCTCATTTCCTTCCCTTGTTTATTGTTACACATCCTGGCCAGGGATGAATTTGATCCCTGACTCCAAAGGATATGCTGCACTGTGTATCATTTGCCTTTAGGACACAGTGGAGCCATCAATATGAATGTACCAAAGAGAAGAAAAGGAAAGGAAAAAGGCCCTCAGACCTCGTGTGTTTCTGAGCCAGTGCCCAGGAAGTAGAAAAGTTAACTGCTAGGAACAAATTTTCAGGAGGGCTTGGATGCCTGCCATTATTTGTGTTTTCTTTTTAGAGTAATTAGACCTCTAGCCAGTTATTTCGGTACAGAACAATCGGAACTGAAACGTCTATTTATAGAGAACAGGAGACTTCCTATTAGAATAACAGCGTACACCTAGTGCAGTCCCCCAGATTCAGGCTGACAGAGCGGCCTGACTTCTATTTAAACGTATCAATACATTCCTAATCAACTCCACGTGAAAAAATGTTCTTGGAAAACAAGTGAGAGAGGCATGTTGTTTAGTTTTGGAACAGACTCTTCTGTGGATAGATGTAGCCTAGAAATTGCTCGTGTCATTCCTCTCACAGCTTAACTTTACATGGAAAAATGAACATCTGTGATCATGAGACCATGAGTCTGCCTCCCTTCTGCAAACGTAATGATTATAAAACTATCTCAGTGAAAAAGTGCTAGTGTTATTAATATTCCAGTAACCCCAAATGGCCCAGGCAAAGGTTCCCAAGCTGTCAGGCACTGTATTTTAACACAGAAGAAGATCCTTTTCACAGAAATTATTTCTAAAGTAAAGCAAGATACAACGTGTGAGCTAAAACAGTCTACAATAAAAGAGAAAGGAAGAACAAAAAGCGACAGCAATAACACTAGTCATCTGCATGGAAAAACTCACGTTTCAAAATGCTTTTAGAGATGTTTAATGAAGCAGCATTAATAATGTGCATATTATCCCTACATCTTCAATGTACACCCTGTTTTGCTGGTTTCCCGCAGACTTCACACTAGAAGCAGGCTTTGACAGAACATTTGAAGTGGAAGGTTAAAATGGATGCTTCATATCTGAGCAATTTAATTACTAGCAGTCTGCATGAAGCTTTTTCCACGTAAAGAGCTTTGTCTACAGTTACAGAAATCTTGTTTGCTTTATGCAGGGAACCAGTGGAGCTCAGCGTGCAGGAGTGGTAGATCAGTAAAACAGCATGAAATCCCACCTCATGGAGACAGTCTCTACTGCTTTGTGTTACTTTGCATTTGGACAAGCAGAAGAGTGGTAATTTCAGATGAGGATACACGCTTGTATGTTCATCCCCTCTCTGAGCATCTTTTCAAACCAAGATTTTTTAGTTCAGCCTGTTAACTGAGGCCTTGCCTACACAAGGAATGTTCATCTGCAGGTTTACATCTTACTATGCAGGCAAGTTGAGCTTAATGTGGATAGGGCTAATGCTGGCAGCATGATGCTTTTATTCATCTTTTTTGCCAGCTCTTTCCCCCTGTTCTCCTCCAGTGTCTGTAGCCCCATCTTGCAGTCCCATTTTCAAAAGTGTTTGTGCACCTGAGATGTGTATCTCATGTTCACCTGAGAGTATCAACCTGAGTCGCATATCCAAGAATCAGTAGCACAGCACACTTTGCTTCCAGTCCACTGTGATCACCTTTAATTACTCTCATCCTGAATGAGTCAAAGTATGTGCTATTCAGTCAGAGAGCAACAGGTTTCAATTGAAAATCAATATCATGTACAAATTATAATTTTCAACAAGATACCACTGTTTTCATTGGCTTTGACTCTGACTTGTTGCTTGGAATAATTAAAATGGTTAATGTGGAAAAATAATCTAAAAGATAACAATCTACAGAGAAAAACAAACATGTTTTTAGCAGCAGTGGAAATAGCAATGCAGACACCAATAAAAACATTTAACATTTTCTATAAAAATATTCTGCAGAGTTTTTGTATTCTGATATTATAGATCAAAGTGAACAGAAACACTATAAGAAACTAGGGTTTAGTGGGTTTTTAAGATTACAGCGTATACATTTTATAGATTAACTTCAAGAATTTCTGGAGGTTATTTTTAAAATGAGGTAATTGTATCCTACCTTTGAAATTATCAAGTTCTCCACATGAGCTATGCATTGGAGGCTGGTTTTTGTGGGAAAACTTTTACTTGCATGCAGCTCCCTGGAGTTTTTAATCTCTTATATGTACACACAGGAAAGTATTATTTGATTTACCCAAATGAGTAAGTTTCATCTCAATACCATAACTTGACTTTTCATTTTTCAGTGTGATTTCTAGATTTTGAAATGAAAGAACTTTGAAAATCAAATACAATTTTCATCTTTTATGCTCATCTTTCTGTATTTCATCATTCTGGGAAATGAAAAGGCTGGTCAGCTTTATTTTTATTTTAACTCCTAGTCAATTTGCAATTTTGCACTCGCTCACACCATCGCCTTAGAAATAATTTACAAGCACTAGAGGATAAGGAGATGACAAGAAACAGCGAACATTTTATTGTCAAGAACATATCATATAAAACTAGTCTAATTTCTTCTGACAGAGTAACTGATTTAGTGAACAAAGGAAAAAGTAACGATGAAACAGTTTGACTTTAGTAAGTCTTTAGACACTGTTTCCACATAACATATCAATCAGGTGAGTGCACATCTATTTGAAAAAATGAACTCTGCGCTACCAAAGTGGATTTCTTTCTGGAGCAGAACCTCAAAGCATACCCCACTGTACATTCAGTTCTGTTCAAATTTCTCATTAACAAATTGAATGATGGAATAGCAAGTGCATCTATAAATAGCAAATGACACCAAGTTGAGGGGAAATATAAGCAACTTGGAAGACATGATCAGAATTCTAAATAATTTTGGCATATGGTCCAAATTCAACCCAAGGACATTCAAATCAAGTTCAAAGTGTCATAATTCGGAGGAAGAAATCAGATGGACAGACACAATTCGCCAGAGAGCGCTACTGCAGAAAAGGACCAGATTCATAAACAGCATATGAATTAACAATATAATACTGTTGTAAAAAAGAAATCCCCAAATAACTTTTGAGTTGTTGGCAAAGAGTTATTGGGAAAAAGCCGACTTCCCCTCCTTTAAAATTGCAGTTTGAAATTATTCCATGTCACATGGGATTCTAAATAATAGTAACTATTTCCTTATAATCATAACCCTGCAGGCATTAAGAATTGCAACCAAACTTGTTCATGAGTGTTATATATAGGGAACAGAAGGTAATCCTGCTGCTGCGGTTGGTGTTGGCCATACCTCAT